ATAGGTACTCCCCATTGTCATTTAGGGCTCCCACCTGCAGCTCATGGGTGGTGGCAAGGGAGAGACACAAGGTCTTCCCCCCCTTATTGTAATTTAGGGCTCCCACCCTCCGCTCATGGGTGGTGGTCATAGGGGGAGGACAATAGGTCATCTCCCCCTTATTGAAATTTATGGGACCCACCCGCTGCTCATGGGTGAGGGCCGAGGGGGAGGACAATAGGTTTTCTCCCCCTTTTTGTAATTCAGGGCCCCCACCTGCCACTCATGGGTGGTGCTTGGGGGGTCGTGGTGCCGTGGCTCATGGGTGGGGGTCAAGGGGACCCTATGTCCCCCATTTAGTTGAATAGCTGCCACTCGTGGGGCATGGGTGGGGGCTCGGTGGGACATTAGGTCCCCCTCACTAGTTAATAGATGCCCCACCATGAGGGCCAGTTATTAGAGGGGGGGGACATAGGCTGCTCACTGTTTAGTAGACATGCCCCTACTCGCGGCATAGCGAGTAGGGGCATTCGGAAGATTTCAATATACCTTATGCTAATATGGGGGTCAAATTGACCCCCATAGAGTGAGGGAGGACATGGGGGGCTTAGGAAGTGTCGGGGAGCACAGCTCCCTCCCGCTGCTTTCTTTACATATTACAAGGAGAGAGCTGCACGCTGGTAGCTCCCTCCTTATAATAAACTAAGCAAACGAACAAATGAACACCGATATTCAGTGTTTGTTTGTTCGTCTGACATTTCTATTCATTCATCTTTCTGACAAATGAATAGATGAAATTTGCGTCCAAATTTCGGACAATAGCCCCAGTGTTTAACTGGGCATGCACAGGGATTTTACAGCGCTATCTAATGTGGGCAGATGACGTGTCCCACAGGGCCTTCATCTACCCACACAAAGATACGGAACCCAGGACCTCGGTCCGGGCAAAAAAATAAAGATTTTTTAAAAAGGTAATATGGGGACCTAGGGGCATATGGGGGTGGCTAGGGGGGAAATTAGATGTAGTGCAGTCGGAAGGGAAGTAAAAAAAAAAACGGATATGGCCATGACACTGCCGCTTTAAGAAAGGCATTGCTTGGCAAGTATCTAATTTACCTTTTGGGAAACTAAGTATAGTCTTTAACTTTCTACAGTGTGTACTCATGGGTATATAAAATGAATCTGGATCAATATTTTTTTCTGTTTAATGCTGGTTATTAGAACAAATATTGATCTTATTTCTTTTGCTGTATTTTTTAAAGGGAAAAACTCAACTGATCTTACAATTTTCCCTACAATTAAATCGACAATGCCTTTTGTGTGATCCAAGATCATCAGCTGGATAAAAAAAAAATAGAAAACTAAAGCATTCAAGCAGACTGCAGGCTATGTTTTTTTTAAAATAAATCTTGGCTAAATTAATTTTTCATAAGCATCTTGTATTGAAGAGAAGATCTTGCTGCCTTCGTTTGAAAATAACATGCAGACTCCTGGGAGATATATTACAGTAATGGAAGTTCACAGAGGTCATAAAAGGTGATAGAATGTTCTCATTTAAAGATAGAAATCATGTTAAAAACGGTAACTGGTTATTCTCATTAATGGGTTTACCTATTCACCCAGAACAAATATATTAAACATAAAAACTCTTTAATGTGATAAAAAAAAATCACATTCCATGTGTTTACATGCCTAACTGAAGTATTTTCAAGCATGTATGTGAATAAAAATCTACTTGCTTATACATAATAAACAATTTCACCTGTTTGACCAGATATTATAGAAGAATGATAAACCAATCACAGTCTAAGCTGACATCAAACAAATAAGGTAATGAGCAACCCATATCTCATCTATATTTCAATAGATGGGAAGTCAGTGAGGCAACCAAAATGAATGAAAGAAAAAAAAGGTTGTAATTAAAAAATAAGAAGAACAAATTCTGGCATTATGCAGATTTAAGGAGGTAAACTAGGTAAAAGGAGAGAACATGCACAGTAAATGAGAGAATGTACAATAAAATACATAAGTGTTTAAAACATATTAATTTCAAAATTATAAAATATATTATAAAATAAACACACCTGAAAGAGGCACCCAACAAGTATTAATACATACTACAGCTTATTGGTGTTTTTCTGGTGCTATTAGGATATGAGTATAATCCCTCTGCAACTTGCAAAACAATTTTCAAGTAGTTTGACAAAAACAGGCATTATGTGGTACCCAAATCCATTCTCTCAGGTGTGACCAATGATAACTTTTCTTTTTTTTTTTTTAAATTCTTTATTTTTGTTGTGCACAATAGTAACAAATAGCCCTGGTGCACCACAACAGCGACATCAGGATACGTTTAGAAAACATTTGCAATACAGGTTGTGACATATGTTAGTCAGGCACATTTTTAAGTTATTAGGATTATTATTTCAACAGTGTAGATTCTCGCTTGTGTAATTATATAACATCAATAAAACAATACTGAGGCATCGCTTGTAACAGTACAATTAATTCGCAGCTCAAGCTATTGCGGTTAGACTATTTGGCTGCTGGGTATGTGGTAACACGCTATCCTGCTACTCCTTAACTACAATTGGACACAAAGCTGACTATGAATAGATGATGAGAGCCTAGACAATCTGGTCCCGAACTAGACAAAAAAATAAAATAAAAAGATTAATTATAAGCGTTTATGTCCATACATGGTGTGCTTGGAGCTGTTTGGATAGTCCAGGTAAACCTATTCAGCCGATGCCCGTGCATGAGGCCGGTTCCGGCGGGTCCATCGGTGGTGCAGCTGGGATCTGTTCCCCTGCGTCCCAGGGGTGCAGCTTGTGGGAGACTTTTGTGGGCGACTGCCTGCTTGTGGGGTGCATTTGCGGTGCCGTCCCTGAGGTGAGTAGGTGGGTTGAGTGAAGTCGTGGGCGGTCTCGATGCTTCCCACTCTGTGGTCATCTTGTTTTCCCCTCTACCTGGGCGTGGGTGCGCCGCTTGTGCTGTGCTCTTTTGTGGGAAGCTTTTCGCGCCCTCAGGGAGTGTTGGGGTCTCTGTGGTTGGCCCAGGTTGTCTGCCTTCGGGGGGCCTTGTGGGACCTTTGGCACGGTGCACATGGTAGTGATGGCGGGCCCCGTCACGTGTGTGTCACTTGGTGCTCGTTTCAGTCTGGGGGGCTCCCTTTGGTGTTATCTGCCCCCAGGATGTGCGCTTCCCTGCTGCAGAGTTGTGGTGGGGAATAAAGTGTGGATGAAAACCCCTTCCATCTGAAGTAAGTGGACAGTTAATACTTTGCTAAACACAAATAAAAAAAACAGTCAAGCCATAAGACTTGCTTTTCCCACAGAAATCTCACTTTAACAGTGCTCTCACTACTGCAAGGGATTCTGGGTAGGTGTATGCAAATTAGCTCAACAAAAATCCATGTATAAAGTGGAATTAAGGCAAAAATGTAGTTCTTTGTTGAGGAAGAGGAATGGGATAACAAGTATCCTAGTGGGACTCCAGTCTTCATCTGGAAGCTGTTGGTAAGCTGTCCTCTGTGGATCACTCTGTAGTACATTCCCTCGTATGAGCTTTTGATCATGTTAACCACCTTGGCTGGGATACCGTTGTGACGAGAGCAATCTCTCCACATTGCATTGGAGAAGCCTGGTTGCTCGCCTGTTGCCTTTGGATTATGGCCCCATGTTAAAAGGCTTGATTTTCCCCTGCAAAGACAAGAAAGCCGGGTCATTTGGTGAATGCCCTGGTTGAGCAGTGATACCCCAGATAGCTATGCCATTCGTATAATGAAAGACTATGGGAAAGACTTTGGCTCCATGGCAATTGAACTGTATGTGTGTGCTCTGAGCGCCATTCAGTAATAATGTGCGCTCAGACCTAAGCTATCTGGGCATATGTTGCATGTCTGTATTTTATGTCATAAATGTAACCTTGCGTATTTTATTGTATTTGACTGTCTTTTTGCTGCCATGTGTTCAATGGAGTTTTGCCTCTGTCTTTGGAGATAATTGGATTACTTCACAATTATCCCCAGGATAGAAGACTCTGTGGAACTGGTTTTGGGCAGAAAAGCCATGCTTCCTGTGGTCACAAAGGACTACAATCTATCTTTTGAACCACTTGACCAATTTGTATGATTTTGACGTATGTTTGTATTTGGAGTATGCTGATTCTGAAAATGTAATTTTATGTGAATGTGATGCATACTTTTCAAGTTATGAATAATGTGGAAAAAATGTATTTCTCTGCTTGTGCTAAATTACATTACCCATTGTGTAAGGTAATTGAATCACAAGCAGAGGGGAGGAATTTGTGTGGGAGTGTCTGAGTGTATTGTATGTGTTTATTGGTTGTGTTCCAAAACCCTGTGGGTGGTGCTAATGTGTAAGAATGTGTACATAAGCACAATAAACCCACAGCTCTGCCTGCTCACTGCTTGACCCTCAACACGGAGCTTTGTCTCATTCTTGGGGGGATTTATTGTATGCTGTTCCAGTTTGACTGCTAGGAGTGTAATCCTATTCGTATGGTTTTTCCTATTCGGCTATTTACAGCATTCGTATGGTTCCGGTTCAGCTGTTTACAGCATTCATATGCTTCTCCGGTTCGGTGGATTGGGTTCTGCAATAGCTGTGCCTGTGTCTCTGGAAGGGGAAGATCTACTAAACGGCGGTTTAACCCTTCTATGCCTGTGGGGTCCGTTACAACCGTAATGCCGGAGGAGCTTCCATAGGACCTCTCGATCCACACTGTCAAAAGCCTTCTCATAGTCGATGAAGTTAATGTACAGTGATGAGTTACACTCCAAGGACTGCTCGACTATGATGCACAGCATTGCAATCTGGTCCATGAAGGATCAATTCTGCTTGTTCATCTCATAGTTCACCTCAACGTCCTTCATCCATTCTAGGAGGATCTGGTTGAAGACCTTGCCTGGCACTGACAGGAGTGTAATACATCTGTAATTGTTACAGTTGCTGAGGTCACCTTTCTTTGGAAGCTTGATTAGATAATCCTTCTTCCAGTCAGTCGGTATCTCTTCTTCCTCCCAGATCTTCTCGAAGAGTGAGTACAGCATCTCCACTGATGATTTCAGGTCTGCTTTTTAGGGCCTCTGCCGGTATGTCATCAGGTCGAGCTGCCTTCCCATTCTTCATCAGGGTGATGGACTTCCTTAACTCTTCTCTAGTCAGCTTGCCGCAGTTGATGGGGAGATCTTTGTTGGCTGGGTTGATGTCTGGTGGATTTGGTGGTGCTGGTCTATTCAGGAACTCCTCAAAGTGTTCAGACCATGTATTCATCTGCTGCATTAGTAATGTGATAACCTTTCCCTCCTTGTCCTTGACGGGTTGTTCTGGCTTGCTGTACTTCCCAGACAGTTTCTTAGTTGTGTCGTACAGCTGTTTCATGTTGCCTTTGTATGCTGCCTGTTCTGCTTCATCTGCCAGTCCATGTTCTTCTGTTTTCTCTCTTCTGTCTTGTTAAAGTTCTCAGCTGTGATCCAGTCTTTGTGGTGAGGTTTCTTTGCTCCAACCACTTCTTGACAGGCTGTTCTCAATGTCTCTTTTATTATCTGCCAGCTGGCCTGTACACCACTTGTTTCCTCTTTCTCGTGCAGCTCATGTAGCACCTCAAACCTGTACTTCAACTGAAGTCCAAACTCCTCCCTGATGCTGGTGATCCTTAGGCGGCTGACATCATACTTCACTCCACACTGTGTTGTTTCCATCCAGTTCTTCTTTAACTGCAGCTGCACTCTGGCTACTACTAAGTAATACTACTTCTCCTCTCCTAACTCTAACGTCCTGCAGAAATCTTCTAAACTTCTTGCTAATGCAGATGTGGTCAATTTGGTTCACTGTCACACTATCTGGTGATACCCAGGTGTTTTTGTGGATCCGTTTGTGAGGAACCTCCAATGACAAGGTTGTTGAGCGCACACAATTCCGCAAATCTCTTCCCATTATTGTTCATCACTTCCAGCCCATGTATCCCCATGACTTGTTCATATCCTGTGTTGTCGGGTCCAAGTCATGTAGACCACTCATCACTTTCCCTTACCTGGGAGCTACGAGGCTACGCTTGTGGCTGCCCAGGAGAGTGCTCTCTCTGGTGGAAACTTGCGTTGGGATATCTACCAGAGAAAGGGCTACACGCCTGCAGGGAGTCCCTGGAGCTGTGAGTCGTTCTCACGGCCGCAGGGTTCCCGCTGGCCGCATGGAAGTCTGTGTCGACCAATGGGAGAAGGAGCGCCCATTCAAACTGGGTTTGTGCTATTCTCCTGATTGGTCGGCACGAGTAAAGCGCCGCAGGGAGCGAGTGACCAATCTGAGAAAGCACGCTTGTTCAAACAGGGTTTCGCGCCTCCTTCTGTCTGATTGGGCGGCAAAACCCTTTTCGTCCCTGGGTGCTGATTGACGCAAATAAGTTTTGTGCCTTTCAGCGGATTGGTGACACCGGGTTTTGTGCCCTATCTTCTGATTGGGCCGCGAAACCCCTCTACTCCTTCCTCCCCCTAACACTGATTTGCGCGATTTGGTTAACGCCATTTCTGCTGATTGGTTGTTGCTTGGTTTAGGTGCGAAGTTTGAATTTGCGGGACTAAACCAAGTAACACCATGGAACTAAGTTCGGGGATGTACAGAGCCTTGAGCCCCAGACTTTCAACACCGATATCTCTGGCTCTGTACATCTAATCGCCCTGCTTTTTGCAGGGGTCTTAAGGGGTACCCGGGGCTATTCATCTATATAAATCCTGTACCAATACTAAAAAACACACAAGTAATGTTATGGCGCTGGTTCAATTAATGATAAATATATAATAATCAGCACTATATACAGTGAACAAGCTCAATCACATGTGACCATATAAAGATAAATACATAAAGTGTGCTGTGCCTTTAAGACAATTAAGAAATATTGAAATAAAGTGAGAATAATTTGTGTAATATTATATAACACAGAAAGTGATCAAGTGCATACACAAAATCACACTTAAAAATGTGTGCAAATAGTCTGCAAAAATAGTGAAATTTTAAACCACACAAAAATACTTAGCTTATTTCCCACTTTGGAATATACCTTTGATCTTGTATATCAGTATTCCAATTTAAATCTCAAAAAAAGGGGGAAATACACAATCATATGACAGTATGTTTGATAAATAAATGTATAGAATATGGAAAACAAACACTCACAAGGGTAGAGCAATTTAGTCTGCTCTAAACCTAGATGGCATCTTGTGCAACATATGCAAACTGGAAGCTGTGGTGACAGTAGAAATCTTTATTGGTATTCACAGAATAAAAACCGCTTTCCAGACTGTAAAGTCCCTTCTTGTAATGCTTCCTCCGTGTAGTAATGAGCTTTTAGGCTCCTCGGGTCCTGCGCCGGCATTTTACAGGACACTGAGTGCCGAATGCAGTCTCTCTCAGTCTACACTTCCATTGAGTGTAACGACGTGATTACGTCACAACGTGATGACGCGTTTGCCGATATAGTCGGCTTCATCAGATCTCATATACAGTGTCACAAACACTGGCCAAAGTTAGCGTTCATATTTGTGAGAAAAAAAACGAATATTTGCCCAGTGTTTGTCACTAAGTGGCTACTAAGAAAGACTGGACATACCCCACTTGCAATACCTTGGGTTGTCTACTTTTGCAAATGGTATGCCATCATGGGGGTAATTCTCATTCCTGAGCTACCATACCAATCTGGCAACATAACCAATCTGGCAAATTTCAATGTCAAAAAAATGAAATGCAAGCCTTATATGTGACTCTCTAACTTTCCAAAACACCATAAAACCTGTACATGGGGGGTACTGTCATTCTCGGGAGACTTCACTAAACACAAATATTAGTGTTTTAAAACAGTAAAACATATTACAACAATAATATAGTCCATAACAGTTCATTTGTAAAAAATGCAAAAAACGTCAGGCAGCCCTCCAAAAGAGGATCGCGGCGGAGGTAAGTCCACCGGACCTCCAGGGGCAGAAAGCCGTTACGGCGTTCTATGCCGCCGCAATGGCTTTAAAGCCCTTTTAATGCGGGACGGCATAGAACGCCGTAACTATATAATAAAAAAAAACTAAGTCAGACTAGAGAAACTGAGTTCTTCTTTAAAGAAAATTAAAGTAAGGAAATCTCCCTCCCCACAGTATGGTGCACCTACAAATGCATGATAAGAGGGCATTTGATTAAATTAGGTTACCAAGAGAAAAAAAGAAATCTACAGAACCTAGCAGAACTATACATAAAGTTAGATGTTTTAGAGAAAATATACAAGGCAAGTCCAATGATAACAGGTAATACATTAAAAATAGTTCAAGAAGAAATTAACAATCTATTTATATAATCTACCAGTGAGACAACTGCAATTAATTTATCATATTTTTTTTTAATAAATACAAAACACCAAGAGTGTCTCAGGATCAATTAGATCTACTTAAGAAACCCATCTTACAGGAGGAGGTCTGCAGGGCCCTAAAAAAATTAAAAGCTACCCGGGTTAGACAGTTTTGGAAACTTTTTTTTATAAATCTCTGAATAGCAATCTAATGGGGATTTTAACTAAAATGTTTAACTATATATTGTCCAAAGGCAAAATCCCCCCCAGAAATTCTAAGAGCATATATAGCGCCTATCCCCAAACAAAACAAAAACCCAGAAATAATAAACAACTTTAGACCGCTTTCTTTGTTATATATAGATATTAAGCTATACTCTGCAGTACTTGCAGAAAGAATAAGTAATATAATACACTGGGACCAGGTGGGGTTTGTGGCAAGTAGATCCCCAGTTTTTAAGATTAGAATACTGGTGGATGTGATGGTTCTGACCTGCAGAAAAAGGATGCCCCTCCTGGCTCTGTCGCTGGATGCTGAAAAAGCCTTCGACAGAGTCAGGTGGGACTTCCTAGACATGGCAATACAGGCTTTTGGTTTAAATGGAAATATTAAATGTTCTATAATGGCCTTATATACCTCCCCAACTGCTAAGGTAGTACTAGGGGATTCTCCTCTGAATGGTTCCAATTAAAGAATGGGACCAGACAGGGGTGCCTGCTCTTGCCTTCTATATCTTATGGCTATTGAACCTCATTGGCTATTGAACCTCATTATCTTTATGGCCCCCACCCGCCACCCAGGGGTGGGGGCCGGGGGGGGGAGGAGAGTAGGTCCCCCCCCCCTTCAACCAGATAGAGTCCCTGTGTGTTTTAAAATTTGCCTGCCCATTGAAGTCTATGGCGGTTCGCCGGGTTCGCCAGGTTCGCGAACATTTGCGGAAGTTCGCGTTCGCGGTCCGCGAACCGAAAATTTCATGTTCGCGACATCACTACTTATCATATATAATTGTGAGTTTATAATGTTATTTTATGATAATATGCTGTCATACTGAACAGTCAACATGGGTTATGTTGCCATAATCTTAAATAGCCAAATCATTTGGCCTGTCCACCATATCACCCTCACAAAGAGCCTTACCTCATCTCCTTACATCATCTTTAGAGGCTTTGGGTAACATGCACTCTTTGCATAATTTGCATGGCTAGCTACTGACTGCCCATATGATGTATACACCCAGATACTCACTCAATAGAGACCTGTTGATTGTGATTTGGATGATTACAGGTTAAAATAAGTAAAAAAAAATGGCAAATAAAACAGTTTAGTTTCTCAGTCTGAGAGGTTAAAACAACTAAATTCTACCTTACAGTGTTACTTATGTTTACATGAGCATATGGCCAGGAATCTTATTATTCACTTAACAAAATCAAAATGCATGCTTTTTGCATAAACCTCGCTGACAGGGTCCAAACACAACTGTTACGGAGCCCTAGTCCTAGCAGTGACTCTACTCCGCTCGTTACACCAAAGTACAATCAGGAACAAGTAAAACAATCCAATGGAGCAGTCAGGCACAGTAAAATAATCCAAGAATCTCCCACCTCCTTCCTAGCAACTGGATGACACACAGCTCTGGGAGTATAACTGAATTTTATAGACACATACACAACTTTTATGCCCAGTCCCATGCAAGGGGTTTCCCAAGCAGAAAATGCAAGGGATTCAATCCCAAGATCCTTAGTGCCTGAGAGATAATTGCCTTAGTAAACTCCTCTAATTGAATTATCTCCGTAGCACAGAAAATCCTCAAAATATGTTGTACCCCAACCATACATTGGAACCTCACAAAAAGTACATTCCCTGATAGCCCCGATCTGAGCCACCAACATATCCAAGAATCACTCGCATCGGTTCTGCAGAACGGGAATGCCATCGTAATGAAGTTTTGACCGGCAAGACATGAGGCGCTAGCCCAAAATAGTTCCAGAGAATTAGATGTCCCTTAGGACCTTAACAGGGCTAGATTTGCTACCATTATACTATTCCAACAATGCT